ACTGGGCTCTCCTACTTAATGATTTGTGTTCCAGACCGTGCTCAAAATCGAGCTGAGGATTTTCTCCTAAACAAGAAAAAGAAAATCACGTCGAAACTCCTCTTTTTCTTTTTTTACAGACAGCATCAAAAAAGTGTAAAAAGCCTGTCCTCACCCTTGCACGAGGGATTGAAAACGCGTACTTACAGGGTGTTCCTCTCCATCCAGCTGACAAACGTCTCAGCGTTCGTACTATTACCCAAAATCACCCCGCAGGCAGCACTCTCAGAGCTTAAACACCACTATTTAGATAATGGCGAATTTGAAAGTCTTCCACGAAAACGCGCTCGCAGGAAGCTTTGTTTGCCACAACACAAACTGTTGCAAAGAGCAAAAAAAAAACCAGAAAAAAGAGTTGTGAGTTCTTCCATTTGTAGCAAACACACTGAACCTCCCCGCTGCCGGCAGCTCTGGCTGGGTTTCAGTCTGATGCTCGACCTGTGTCGTTCAGGGGTGCAGGGGCACACTGCACTCACCCAAAGTTTGAAGCAAGCGGAGTGAAACCAGTATTTACGGCTGCAGCTTTGAACACCAGGCACGAAGTGCACTTTTCTTTCCGAAGGAAGGTTTTTCTGAACACCCAGAGCGGGCTCCCCGGGGCAGGGCACGCCGCAGCCCCAGGCTCAGCTCCGTCCGTCCTGCGTCCACCCCACGGCACGAGCAGCCCCCGAACCCCTGGCCCAGGAGCTGTTTGTTTACAATATTTAGCATAGCAAAGCTTTCATCCCCGATATATCCCCCTGTGCCGCCGTGGTGGCAGGAAAAGTGCGTTCCGGCAGGATGCGCTTCCCTGCGCTGGTCTTGCTTCAGACGCACACCTGGGCCAACGGCGCACCTTACCCAAACGGGGTTCTGTTTCGGCTCGTTCTGAAAGGCTGATGGCACAGGTTTCCCCTCCAATTTTTTTAACATATACATATACATATAGTATATGTATATATACACATATACTTTCCAAATTTTTACCTCTAAGCACATATAAATATATATATTATCCAATTTTTACATATATGCATATATAAATATAACCATATTCATATATTTTCCCAATTTTTTACTCATATATGTATAAACTATACACACCCCCCCTCCTGTATGACGTACAGACGATACACGTGCACATGACACCGATAACCAACCCTCTCCACTCCCACAATCAGGTAAATTCCATCTCAGGTGACGTAACGAAACACACAGACGGAGCAAAATGACAATATTGAAGGCACGTAAAAGGGAAAGCCGAGGATCGAAATCTTCCTAAAGACACCTTTGTGCCAAGCCAAGGGCCCTGCGTGGGATAAGAGCAGGGTAACGGGCTTGGGTGGAACCTACAGCATGAGCGTGAGATCCGTTTGCAGGAATCGCTGCTCGGTCGATAGTGCGGCGGCGCCAAGGGAATTGGCTCGAAGGCACGGCAGCTTGAGAGCCCAGGACTCCAGGAAATTAATGCAGTGAACACTCATGATTAAAATTGGCTGACAGGTCTCGAAGCGCAACGGAAAATAAAAAAATTATCCTCAGGCAAGTGATTTTTCTGCTGGAGTTCTGCAGGGATTGCTTGTTACTGTTCTTTTAACTCCCCCTTCCCTTCAGCGACCCTGGAAGGAAAGCAGCGGCGGCGGGCGCAGACAGTGCGGGGATTAGGAGAACAGAGAGCGGGGACAAGAGCAGGCCACCGACACACACTGATCTGAGCCACGCGGGTCAGTCAGACAGAAAATACCGGCTGTGTGTCAACATGGACAAAAAAAAATAAAAAAATTCTTGAAGTTGGGTGTGCTGCAGAGCAGAGCACAGTGCTCAGAAACCAAGGATGGGGCTGGGTCACCTTCGGTGGTGCCATCGCCTTTGCAGTCCCGGTGTTCAGATCCCGACACTGGGGGGAGGACGGGACCCAGGAGGGGACACGCCGGTGGGAGAGCCACAAGAGGACGAGAGGAAAAGCTACTAGTGCTTTGGAAACTGGCTGCCACCAGGTCTTCTCTCTGAAGGACATCCGGAAAGAGTCCTCAACACGTTGGACTGAGCAGCTGAGACATCTTCTAGAGGCTAAAGGACCAGGAAGCAATGTGGGTGTAAAAGATGGAGAGGAGAGCCTGGGATGAAGATGGAGACATTGGGCAGCCAGGGATCAGGGTAGGAAAGCTAAAGCCCCGATAGAATTACAGCAATGGCTTGTCAAGGGCAACAAGAAATGCTTCTGTAGGTATGTCGGGGAAAAAAGGAAGAGTAGGGAAAATGTGGGCGCTCCCCAGAAGGACAGCTGTGGGGTCCCCAGCACAGGACAGACCCGGAGCTGCTGGAGCGGGGCCAGAGGAGCCACAGAGATGGGTCGAGGCTGGCTCCCGTGCCGTGCGAGGACAGGCTGAGAGAGTTGGGGGTGTGCAGCCTGGAGAAGAGAAGGCTCCGGGGAGACCTTCCAGCACCTAAATGTCTAAACCTTTTCTTGCTGAAAATTTCCCAATGCAAGATGTGTCAGCATTGAAGTTCCCGGTTTGGAAAAATAATAAAAACTGAAACAAAGCATCTGAAGGAGGTTTCGGCATCCTCAGCACAGATGTCACCACCAGCCTCCTCCTCCTCTTTCCTACACACCAACACCGCATGGCACGGAGTCGTGCACGGTTTTATTCCACAAGTAAAGTGTCGTTACCATACACACACCAGGGGCAGCTGTGCAACCCTACCCTTGCTAAACACTCAAAATGGGTTTTAGGACTGGTATCAAGATGGTTGGAAATGACTTTGTATGTTCAGGGAGGACCTTAAGGGAGACCCCCCGTAACCCAAGGAAGCTGCTCCCCGCGTCCCAGGCGCGGCAGAGCTCTGAAGTCCCATTAGAGGGTCACACGGCGATTGAACTCTCAGGCTCAAGATTTTAACTGCCGGATCCAGTTTCTTTTCAGAGCAACCACCTTCTGACAGGCAGGATGGAGAAAGCTGACACTTGCCATGAGGCACACGAGGACTTTCGGCTAATCCTGTTTAATGGGGAATTCCCAAAGTGCCTCTTGAGCAAGGGGTCAGCTAATCCCATTCACTGACGGGATTTTTTTTACTCTTAGTTAATGGAAAGTGGCTCAAAACAAGAATATTTCCTTTTATTTTGATTTACAGGTATTGCTTTGAAGAGGGAAACCATGACATTTGGGTATTTGGAAAATTAAATGTGAGCTGCTCCTGTCCATTACTGTTAAACCAGTAACTCTTATCAGATGTGGGAGAAAAAGGGGCTTTTAGACCAGCTCTCCCATTTAACCAGCTGTGCTGGATTTGGCATTTTTGAAGCAGAAAACAAAAGGTTATTATTGTATTAAGTGAAGATTAAACAGCATATAATTGTATTTAACTGCCATTCTTCTACAGACAGGGATTAGAGAAAAACTAATTTTTTTTAAAGAGAAAAATGTCTTTATTAAAATCAGCAGAAGAAGTTGAAAATCAATAGTTTAAACCCTTACATGAAAGATGCAATAATTCATAACGACGGCCACACAACATACGTTCTTCAAACGAAGAACAGGCTGCCCAGGGCAGCGGTGGAGTCACCATCCCTGGAGGGGGTCAAAAACGTGTGGATGTGGGGCTTGGGGACATGGGTTAGTGGGTTGGGTGGGGTTGGGTTGGTGGTTGGACTCGATGATCCTTGAGGTCTTTCCCAACCCTAATGATTCTATGAGCCACGCACTGAGCTATCCCGGATACGTGATGAAAACCCGGGTACTTCGCAGTAATGTCTGAGCAAAGAAGAGTAATCAATGGTTTCCCAGCTCTTCCCACCATCAGAGACTCATTAAGGCACCGAGGACCATCAGCTATCTCAAGAAGACGTCACCTGTGTTTGACCCACACCAGCCACGCCTCAGAGAGCTCCAGCTATTCCCAGGATCCTGAAATGAAGCGCGTTGCTTTGCAATACCCATCATCTCCTGAGACTTCAAGAGTAGCTACCTTTGAAATTAAACTATATTTAGGCAAAAGCAAAACCAGAGAATGTTTTTCGTGGCTCTTCAGCACTGAATTTCTCCAAACAAGTTACGGCGATGCTGAGAATCACCTCAAGGGAAAGTAGCACCTACCTGCAGCAGCACAGCGCACGGTGAACTTCACACACTGGTGGCGAGACGTGGCTAAACCGGCACAGTCCTCTTGAATTCATGAAAAAAATTACCCAGAGACCTAACGTAACTTACCTTCACTCTCTTTGCCCTGCCACTTGCAGCTCTGTATGAATATTCCCCTACAGACACTCCTCTTTATCGGTCACAAATGGAGCACGATACTGCACGTGATGCTGACCAGCACCAGTCCTCGGGAGAACCTGTTCTGGAGGAGCAAGGGGACAACCCCAAAGGTCTCTTTGCCCCACACACCATTTCTCTACAGAGTTACTTTTTAGTGATTGCCTGCAATGGAGTCGCTGCTGTGACGCTTGTCCCGAACTTGCGCTATCGAGGTGATTATTCCTGGTTCAGCTGTAGCTACAAGTGCAACCCAAGTGTTCAGTCCACCAATGAACCAGCTTTTGCACACTGATTTACAAGAGAGACAGTTTTAAGGAAACTGAGACAACATTTTACGGCTCAAGCAATAAATCACTGGGGGCACGGGGAGCAATGTGACAAAGGAACAGCTCTATCTGAATTTTACATGGGAAGAGTTGGACTGGGAGAAGCATTCAGGAGACGTGACACAGTCAAAATGCATCTTCAGTGATATCTGTCCCCAAACACCCATCCTCGAATGAACACACGGGGAAGGCAGAAGGGGCAAGCAAAGGGTTATAGCTAAAAAACATGTCCCAGAAAGGCAAGGAAAAAAAAAATGTTGTTCTGGTATCCTAGTAATGCAGTGAAGTAGCACAGATAAAGCTCAAGACCAGCACCCAAATGCCTTCAGGGGAAGTTTCTGCTTTGGCACGCTAGACTGAGATTTCAACAAAATCCATCCCCAGCACTGACCTCTTGAAGTGACTTGCCAGGACTCCCACCAGCTCTCCGATCCGGCTGTCGTTGGAGGGCTCTTTACTGAAGAGACAGACGATGAGATCCTTGTTGTCCTTCGTGTGGAACACCACGAGCTGGTCCTTTCCGTTGGAGACGCTCAACCCTACCAACTGGGAAGAGAAAACAAGAACGACCTTATATACTCGCCAGGCTAGCTGGCTCCTCTGCAGGATGCCACGCTCGCTCTCAACTTCCACCTCCACCAGTGAGCGGGGGGCACCAGCAGGGTGCAGGTCCCCAGTACTCCTCCCGCAAGCTGGAAAGTCAGGGTGAAACAACAGGGAGTCAACAGCCTCAAAGGTGCAAGGAGATTTTACCGTCTACCCTGGGTTCACCCCAAGCAACTCCTGGAGAAGCAGCACCGCCCCGTGTCACCGCAGTGCCCCTCTGCTTGTCCCCAAGAGCGCTCCATCCGTATTTCTAACAGCTGAAGCTCTTTCCCAAAAATCTCGCGCTGCACACCACCACACGGCTCAGTGGCAGAGCCACAAACCTGCTTTTTTTTTGTTTTTCTTCTTCTTTTCTTTTCAAAGGAAACCAACAATTGTCCCGAGTCCAGCCAACAACCATCTTGCCATTCACACCCGCAGCGCTGGGAACACGATACGCAGATACCGTAGGAACGAAGTTTACCAAAAGCCTGAAGATCTTGATGAAGAATATAAGCTGCAAACCCTGCGAAGTCGTGATGATGCCAGTATCTAGCTATGGAATAAGCTCTTGGTGTTCTGACAAAATAAACAGCTGCGGGGTTTCGGTCTGGGTTTTTGCTTTGGTGGGGTGTTTTTGTTTTTTGTTTTTGTTTTGTTGTTATTGTGGGTTTTTTTGGTTTTTTTGTTAAGTAACTGCTACTTAGCACATTGAAAGCTTTGTCCTCATCATCTCACAAAGCAAAAGTAGGAAATTTTTAGGAGTGGCAATGCTGGGTACATGGGCTATTCAGAGGAATATTAGAAAAAGCAAAAAATGAATCTGTGCTGGGGAAACAAACCATAAGGATGGCAAAAGAAACATCAAGAGGCAAGTACATTTAACAAACCAGTAAAATTAAAAAAAAAAGGGGGGAAGAGAGAGAGAAAGGCAAAAGAATGCTGAGTTCAGAGAGAGAAGAGGGCAGACCTTTCCTTGTCCACCAAAGGACTGAGGAGCCCTTTGAGTCACCCGGAGATTTGCAGAGAGAAGCCACCTTCTCCTCTGAGTGAGAGGCACCGCTACAGCATTTCGTGGAAATGAAAGTCTCATTATTCCCTTCTTAAAGAAAAAAAGCCGCCTGTGTAACCCCAGCGCCTGCGTGTGCAGGGTGTGAGCACAAACGGAGCTGGAGACCGCTCGCTGCTCTCAGAGCCATGAATCACCCCCAGCAGAAGCTGTCCCAGCGCGGGATGTCTAACGCACCCCAGCCAGCAGCGTTGCCCCAGCAAAGCACACCGCAACCGACATACAGCCGTGCGGCGTGTGCCCTGTTTTCCGGATAAAACACCTACCCACATTTTGAACCACTCCTATTTCGTCGGGTTATCACCCAGCCTGGCTGAACTGCAGCAACCGCGGAGATTTGAAACACCGAGCACAGACCTCCTGCTACCAGTTGCACATACCCAACCCAGGTGGAGTTTATTCTCCACCGTTCAGGCTGTTTGAGGTTGTGAAATGCTTTAAAAACCAGCTACGCTTCATGCACAGACATTAGCAGCTGCCTGCGTTTATAGTGTCCCTTAAAATTAATTTGCATGCTTAAATGACATCCCGCCAGCACAATGGCACCGCAGGGACTGCTGCCGTCAAGGTTTTTAATGCGCACCGAGGGTGAAAGATGAACAAGTTGAAATCTCTGGGTTTGAAAAGCCTATTTAAGCATTAATTATTCAACAGAACCATGTCAGAAGTCTAAGAGCTCTTCAAAATTTTCCTATTTCACCCCTTCCCCGTCAGACTATCTGCACAAATAAACAGAACACAAAAGAAATAATTCGGAGAAGGTGCTTATCTCAGTGTTTACAAACACTAATATTAGCTCTGCTCGAGGGTCAGGAAAAGATTCTCAGCATCCACCTTTACTGTGTTCACTCAAAGGTCGGTGCAAGATCCTTCCTGCTGCTCAGTCGCCTTTAATTCCTTTCTGCCATTCCTGGGGTGTTCTCTCTCTAGGTAAGAACAAAAAGCTCATTGTGTACTGGTGCTTCTGAGGCACTGCCGGAACGGCTGCACGCAGAAAATCCCCCAGGTAGCATCTCGATACAGCAAAACAGTCAGGGCTGAGAGGCAGGTTATTGCTCTGTCATCATCCGCACACAATTCCGGACCCGCCACGCGGGATGCACAGTACCAGGAGGCAGAGCCGGACGTGGGCAGGCATGCACGGGCTGCGCTTAAACCGCTGACGTGTGAACAGAGTTAAAGGAGATGGGGACCTGGAGTGTGATTTCTGCAGCCGAAAACAAGCTGATGGTGGTAACGGGCATCAGCTGAGTGTCTCCAATGAGATTTCCATGGAAACACGGTCCCCAAGGATGCTGCCCGGCTGAGGGGGTGCTTTGGAAACGCTGGCGGCGAGCAGCACTGCTAGCAGGGAGACGAGCTTCAGCCAGGGTCACCTGTATCTATCCGACGGGCAGTCCAGCTTCCCTGGGAACATGCGTCTTTCTAGTGGGACATACCGGATCCACAGCACGCCTGCTGTCATTATTAGCCATCTGCTTTGCAAAAATCCTCGTATCAGTTCAAACAATCTAAAAAAACCTCGTATCAGTTCAAACAATCGCTCTTTCCCCAAAAGGGAAGGAGTAGCTGTATCACTAACGGGCTTACACCACCTCCCTGCACGGTGTGAAAGGGTTTCCACGCAAGAAGGGATCAGGCACGCAGAAAAAACGAGGGAGAGTATGCAAGAGGTGAAAGACAACGCACATTCAGATCAGTTAGCAACAAACAGAAAATGTAACTACAAAAGGAGAAACAACTGCACTACGGCTGGAGTTCAGTTTCAGAACTCCTGCCAGAACATTTCATGTATTACACATGAACCAAACACATCTCCACGCTCTCCTCCTCTTCCTGCGGCGCAGAGAGGGGTCAGCAGGAACTCACGGGATCAGTGAGCATCCCCGCAACGCCATCCCAGCACGTACGCGCAGAGCTGCTTGTGTTCCCCAGGAGCACGGCGCAGGAGGGCAAGTAGAAGGAGAGGCTGTGGCCAACAGAGCAGAAATTGATCGCTACAGCACTTGCCAAAGATAGCTTTCATCCGATACCCGCTCTGGAATATTATTCTGACACCTGTACAGGGCGGGGAAAGGTCTTTTGGATCCTTCCCTCCTGTGCAAAGTGCTCCGGGACCACTTCACAGTCGCTCAGGTCAAGGAAACTGTTCAGCTGAGAAGTCTGGGGGTAGATTAGTGAAGGGAATAATTGCAGATCTATAGAGTTGATTTATACCCATGGAAATTGAAGTATTCTAAGAGCAGGAGACCCTTATGCACAGACCATTAACGGTTTTGCTGCCAGAGGCGACGCAAAGCAGCCAGCCAGCACACAGCCTGCGCTACAGCACCCTGGGTGAATGGATGCTCTATTTTAGACACTCGTGGTTTGGGAAAAAGCAACCATTCCTAACCCTACCAAGTAACAGATAGCCTATAGGCAATGTACCGTTTGTATCTGACTTGCTTGCCTCCTTGAATTTTTGAGGCACGAAGGATTCCAGAGGAAACCATCCAGGCTACCAGCACACTGACCTGCTCTCGTGCTGGTACACGAATGTACAAACTCTGCCTTCAAACCCATCGGACACACAGGCAAGGCAGATATTTTCTTAAAGCTGTGATAAATACAGATTTACCTGTAAGTACTTGTGAAGGGTTAGCCCTTGGCTGGGGGCCAAGCCACACACACCCGCTCACACAATTCCCACCCCCACCCAATGATAGGGGAGAGAATTAAAGGGGTAAATGGAAAAGAGGACTCCTTCCTCCCCCCCCGACCTGCCTGCGGAGAGCAGAGAGGCTGAAGGACCTTCAAGTATCCTAGCAATAATTATAAACGTTCCTTTCTTATCAGCTTTTCTCCTGAGCATAAATCCAAAACACAGCCTCTCGCTAGCTAGAAAGCTCTTAGCTTAACCCAGGACAGCACTGATGTAGTAAGTGGCCTAGCTGTTCTGTGTAAGGTAAGAGTGCAGAAAACCAACAGTGAGAAATTGTGATGGACAGAATTCCACCGTGTCCACCTGAGTTCACCTTGGTGCTTCACAGCAAGCCACCCACCCAGGAAAAACCCTCTGCCCAGAGTCTCTGTGTACTGGCCAAGAAGGTCAACAGCATCCTGGCCTGCATCAGCAATGGTGTGGCCAGCAGGACCAGGGCAGGATTGTGCCCCTGGACTCGGCACTGGTGAGGCTGCACCTTGAATCCTGGGGTCAGCTTTGGGCCCCTCCCCACAAGAAGGACATTGAGGGGCTGGAGCAGGTCCAGAGAAGGGCGACGGAGCTGGGGAAGGGTCTGGAGCACAGGGCTGACGAGGAGCGGCTGAGGGAGCTGGGGGGGTTCAGTCTGGAGAAGAGGAGGCTGAGAGGAGACCTCATCACTCTCTACAGCTGCCTGAAAGGAGGGGGCAGGGAGGGGGGTGCT